CTGGATTTGATGAGCTGTCTGCCCTAACTGCCCGTCCGTACACTCCATACGCGTGTGTCAGAGGTAGCCGTCGCCACTATCGCCTGCACCAATCCTCTTTGGACGCGTATCGTCCTGCACATGGGGTAGGCTGTCAGAGGTGGTTATCACTATCCACCACTACCTTCTCGACACGTGTCCCCTGCACATGGGGTAAATATTCTCCTAGAATTCCGTTAGAGGCTCTCTCACGCGCCTGTGACTAGGCCGATCAACGTGGTGTTAAGTCCTCGAAGTGGTCGACCTGTCGAGGCCGACTGAACTGCTCGATCGTTCATCTGGTGGAAGAATAGTTTGGTCGACAACTTTGCTTGGTCGACTGGTTAACTGCTCGATTTCCTTGGCTTCATCATAATACGACTTCCTTAACCGGTCTGTTTACCGGTTTAACCTTGTGGGTATAATATCCTATATCATCTAGTCCCACCCACTCTAGTCGAGTCTGAATGACTCGATCTAAGAGTGAGTTTGTGCCTATCGACCTCCTGGGCATCATGGTGTCCAATATCGACCATCTGGTGGATTTTCTGTTTATTTTTTCAAATAATACCTCATTAATTGCCAGGGATAGGGTCACCTATTACACGTCCTTTCTGCAGTGCTTACTTTCCTGCCACGCGTCGCGTCTGTCAGTTACTTTAATGATAGCACCTCGTCGCATAACGTGAGCCGCTTTGAGTGCTGTGTTAATTAATGCTCCCCACCGTTAGATCTGGTTTTAATCCGACGGTCTTGCTCTTCCAACCCTTCAACTCTCTAAGTATAGTTTTTCCACCTTTGCAATTTTGAATTCTCCTGTGCTCAAGTATCCCTTTTGCAAGAACCCTAATCTTTTCGGCGCTTTCTCCTACAATATTCAAGTTCTTCCACATCTTTCATCTGCGATCATGAGTAAGTTGCTCCTCATATGATTTTATACTTCGAGTGTCTAGGATTTTGCATTTTGAATTTCTTGAATTGGGTGTTTGAAGTGTGCTGACTGAGTATTTTGAATTTGTATGTTGGGTGTCGACTTTCGCCTGTTAATCGTTGTAGATATCGTCCTCTTTCTTTGAAATTCTCTCAGAATCCCTATTCTCCTTCCTCAATTTCTCCAAAATCGCCTCTTTCATATAGTCCTAATTTTGAAAACCTTCTCTTCTTTCCTCTTTTTCCGTCCAAGTTCATCTTTTTTAATATTGTTCCTTATTTTTTCTTTTTTGTTTTCAGATCCTGCCACCTCAACCACTTCTTCAGACTCGGTTCAAATCTTGCCCTCAACCCTCGAAGCTGTTCCTCTTTCTATCCTTTGGCCGGGCGAAACCATTCCTACCCGTGTTTTCACCGCCCATATTGCTTCTTCTAATTCCGGGGATACTATGGATAATGTTCCTCTCCGCCGCCGTCGACCTGCCCTCGGCGCACTAGATGAGCCCGAGGAGAACGAGATCAATTCTCCTCAGGCCCCTTCTCCTCCTTCTTCAAATATTCCTCCTTCCTTTTCCCAACCAGAGACTTCTAAATCTCCTTCCCATAAGGCTTCGACCAAAAATCTCTCAAAGGCTTCCTCGAGGCATCCGTCTTCTACTTCTCTTCTCCATCCTTGGTACGATCCTAACAAGATCGGCCAACCTCTCGGTTGGGCGCTCTTTAGCTCTTCTCCCTCTGATAAATACGACCATCCTCCCAGGGATTGTTATACATTTTTTGAAATCCAATTTAAACTTGGCATTCGCTTTCCCTTGTGCCCTGAACTTCTTTAGATTTGCGAATGGGTTGGGCTTTCTCTGCACCAGCTCCCCCCAAACGCCATTCGTTTCATGACCATCTTTATTATCCTCTGTCGCGTCTGTTTAGGTCGATTCGACCTAGACGTTTTTCATTATTGCTACGCCCCCTCTAAGCAAGGTCGTGGCCTCTATTTGAAGAGCCGCAATGGCGTTTACTTCATTAATGATATTCCCTCAAATCTCCCCAAGTGGAGTGATAAATTCATTTTTGTCCGGCCTGATGCTCATTTTCCTTGGTTGTCCGTCCCTTGGGTCAAGGAAGTTTCTCGAGAGGCGGCTTCAGTCCCTCCTCCCAACCCTCTGTTCGACCAACGGGTCTTCACATGGAATTCCAAGTCCGTTGCATCCGAAGTACTTCTCAAGGATGATAATCTTCTCCACTATTGTGGTCTTCTCACCCATAAGACATGTCCTCCCCCGAGTGATGAGATTCTCGATCTTATCCGGATCGAGAATGATCCAGGTAATCCTCGACCAGCTTACTTAGATGCTCTGGCCCTCCTCTGTGTTATTTTCAATTATCCCTCGCCGATGTTGGTTCTAATCTTTTATTGTTGTCTTGCAGAGGTGCCTAGCTTCAACATTCCCCCTAGGAAGACTCCTCTAAATAAGAAGTCAGGGGCCACCTCTGGCTCAGCTGATGTTGTGGTCGAGGAATCGACCATCTCAGGTGGGTCTCGACCGGAATCGCATCAATGATCACCTCCTCGAGAGGCTTCCTTACCTCCACCCCCACTATTGAATGAAAAACAACAGCAGCAGCCTCAACCACAACAGCAACAACATCAACAACAGCAGCAGCTTCAACATCAACAATCGCGCCAAACTCCTCCACCTCCTCCTGGAAAAACCCCTCAACCTTCTTCCTCCTCTGCTGTCTTGTCCAAGGCCTCGACCACCTCCAAGGTCAATGATCGTCTCCCGAAGACTACCGACCACCACCAAAGGTCCGATGGCCGCCATCACAAGCTCGACGAGCGCCATCAAAAGCTCGATGATCGCCACCAGAAACGTGATGACCGCCATCAAAATTCTGATCCTCGAGCTCCTAATCCCGGAGATACCAATTTTTCCAAAGCCACGGACAAAACTCCCGAGCCTAACTCGTCGTCCAAAACCAAAACCTCAGAGAAGCCCCCTCCCGACCAACAATCCCTCAAGATCCAATCCACTGGCTCGACCAAGGCACTGGTCGAGTCCAGCGGTCAAGTTGATACAGGGCGCGAGACGGTGCTGGGTAAACGGTCTCGCACCGATCAGGGTTCGATCGTCTGGAAGCAGGGGCGCGACAGTTATCTTCCTCCCGACCCCCTTGCCCCGAAGCTGACATCCCTGATGTCGGCGTCTGTGAATGAGGTGGCCGACCGCCTCGAGGGTGCTCTCCTCGAGGACGATCGTAAGAAGCTTAGCCCCACACTACCCGAATTTGGGGATCAGTTTGTTCAGTGGCTTGCCCAGGTATTGCTTTCCTCACGTTTGTCTGCATTCTTTCTTGTACTCCGCCTATTACACAGGCATTGAGCTGTGCTTTTTTCGTCGATTACAGGACCTGGTCCAATTCTTGCCCACGGTGCGAGAGGCTCAAGACAGCTCTAGGAAGTCCATAAAAAGCTTAGAGGGCACCATTGGCTTTCTGCAGGATAAGAACTCGACTCTCCTGCAGCACAATGCCAAACTCCGTGAGACTCAATCAGAGCAAAAAGTTGAGTTTGACGTTAAGTTGAGATCCCTTGATGAAGAGCTTAGTAACAAAAGCAAAGCTCTCGCGGAGAAAGATGCTGCCCTCTCGGTGAAGGAGGCAGCGGTGTCGGAGAGGGAGGCCCTGCTGAAAGAGAAAGAGACGGCGCTCGAGCAAGAACGAGCTGCTAGAGCTGAGGCGGAGAAGGCTCGTGGTGAACTGGAGGCTATTCTAACCAAGGAAAGGGCTGCCCATGCTGAGGAAAAACAGCGGTACGCCAATGCTACCGCTCTTCGAGCAAGACAAATGCTTTGGGCAACAACGACTGGGCAGCTCTTCCTCCGTGAGCATCACGCACAAGTGGTGGCTGACTTCATGCAGTCACCTCAATTTCTCAAGGAGGTTCAAGATTTTGGGGTGGACTGTTTCCAGTTTCCCCTACAGAAAGCCGACGAGCAGATCGCCGAGGATGACTTCGAGCAGCTCGACCCCGGGGTTATCTGGGATGCCTTACCAAAGGTTCTCTCTAATTTTTGTGGGGATCCTACTTTGCCCCTCGAGCATGAGTGGTGGTCAGGACAGCTCGAAAGAACCTTAGGTCGATCAGAAGTTTTGAAGAAGACCTTCGCTCTGCCCGATGATGCTACTCCCCCAGCTGCCATGTTGGTCGCAATGGCTGAATCTATTCAACGACGCCCGCTTAATGAGGCCTGCGATTCGACCTCTGGTACTGGTCCTCGGCTCGACCCAAATGCCAGTTCGAGCAACGCCGACTCGACTGATGCTCCTCCTCCTCCGTAGTGTAGTGTTGTATTTTTCCGTTTCCATTTGTATTTAATTGAATTTCTGCAATGTGTGTATTTCTCACGATCTCATGATTTTCTTGAAATGGAACTGTTTTGGTTGGTTTATTTCTATTTTTGTCAATGCTCGTGATGATCTGGTTTGGTACACTTGTGTGATTTCTTAGTAAGGTGACTCGAGTGAGCTTATATGTCGTTAACGTATTTTCCATTCTTTAGCTTGTATTTTTCGTGTAACTGCACATTTCGGATACATATCCTCCTCCAAAGGGGTGGTCGTTACATACGACCATCCAGCCTCATGACCTCAATCATGATGGATTTTTCCTTTGAACGCATGCCCACCCTCAAAGGGGTGGTCGTTACATACGACCATCCAGCCTCATGACCTTAATCACGATGAATTTTTCCTTTGAACGCATGCCCACCCTCAAAGGGGTGGTCGTTACATACGACCATCCAGCCTCATGGCCTTAATCAGGATGGATTTTTCCTGTGAACGCATGCCCACCCTCAAAGGGGTGGTCATTACATACGACCATCCAGCCTCATGGCCTTAATCATGATGGATTTTTCCTATGAATGCATGCCCGCCCTCAAAGGGGTGGTCGTTACATACGACCATTCAGCCTCGTGGCCTTAATCATGATGGATTTTCCCTGTGAACGCATGCCCGCCCTCAAAGGGGTGGTCGTTACATACGACCATCCAGCCTCGTGGCCTTAATCATGATGGATTTTTTCTTTGAACGCATGCCCACCCTCAAAGGGGTGGTCGTTACATACGACCATCCAGCCTCGTGGCCTTAATCATGATGGATTTTTTCTTTGAACGCATGCCCACCCTCAAAGGGGTGGTCGTTACATACAACCATCCAGCCTCGTGGCCTTAATCATGATGGATTTTTTCTTTGAACGCATGCCCACCCTAAAAGGGGTGGTCGTTACATACGACCATCCAGCCTCTTGGCCTTAATCATGATGGATTTTTTCTGTGAACGCATGCCCACCCTCAAAGGGGTGGTCGTTACATACGACCATCCAGCCTCGTGGCCTTAATCATGATGGATTTTTTCTGTGAACGCATGCCCACCCTCAAAGGGGTGGTCGTTACATACGACCATCCAGCCTCATGGCCTTAATCATGATGGATTTTTTCTGTGAACGCATGCCCACCCTCAAATGGGGTGGTCGTTATATACGACCATCCAGCCTCGTGGCCTTAATCATGATGGATTTTTCCTTTGAATGCATGCCCACCCTCAAAGGGGTGGTCGTTACATACGAATATCCAGCCTCGTGGCCTTGATCATGATGGATTTGTCACATATAACATGTCACCAAGATTAATCCAAGGATTCGAGCTATATAAAGCTAATTCGGTAAACAGTAAATCGTAGAAACTCAATACACCATTTCATTCATTATCGAGCAAAGCATTTCATTACGTTGATGATAGTTAGTGAAAAGAAAATTTTCAAACATAATATTTTTTCAAGTTAGCCACATTCCATTACCTGGCTAGAGATCTTCCTTCAGCATCCTTTAAAGAGTTTGCCCCTCCAGCATGAACCTTTTCGACCAGATATGGTCCTTCCCAGTTTGGCTTTAACTTTCCGACATGCTTCAACACATCGACTCTTTTACACACCAAGTCACCCACTTGGAATTTCGTACCTTCACCTTTCTATCATGTGCTGCTCGCATCCTCTGCTTGTACGCCTCGACTCTAACTGAGGCTTTTTCTTGAAGCTCTTCGATCGTATCGAGCGCTGCCATTATCAAATGTTCATTCTGCTCTCGATCATACATGCTCGATCTTTGGGACTGAACTTCGACCTCCACCGGCAACAAAGCTTCCATTCCATACACCATACTGAACAGTGTTTCCCCCGTGGTCGATCGGGGCGTTGTTCTATATGCCCATAGCACCGAAGTAAGTTCATCCACCCACGCTCCTGATGCCTTCTCTAGCCTTGTTTTCAGACCGTTCAGTATGATCCTATTGGTCACTTCGACCTGCCCGTTGGCTTGCGGATGTGCGATTGAAGCAAAGTGTTGCTCGATTTTCATGTCCTCGCACCATGCCCGAATCCGCTTGCCATTGAATTGGGTCCCGTTGTCCGACACCAGTACTTTAGGAACTCCAAACCTGCAGCATATGTTGTTATATAGAAAATGCATCACTTTCTCCTCCGTGATCTTTGCCAGAGGTTCAGCCTCCACCCACTTCGTAAAGTAGTCGACCGCGACAATCAGAAACTTTCTCTGTCATGTCCCTTGGGGCATGGGTCCAACCAAGTCGATCCCCCATTGGGCAAACGGGATGGGAGAACTCATCGTCGTCATAGCTTCGGACGGTTGGTGAATAAGTGGGCCATGCTTCTGGCATTGCAAACATTTCCGCACCAGCGCTCCTGCGTCTTCCCTCACCGTTGGCCAAAAATATCCTGTCCTTAGAGCCTTTGCCACCAGGGAACCTGCCTTGCTGTGGTCACTGCAACATCCCTCGTGGATCTCCTTCAACACATATCGCCCTTCTTCTCTGGTTACATATCACAAGTGGGGGCCTGCGTGCGACCTTTTGTAGAGAATCCCCTCGTGCTCAAAAAACCTCCTTATGACTTTAACGGCTCCTTCCTTCAATTCTTTGATTATCTGTGCCCTCTAATTCTCGACCTCTTCTATCTTGACCACCTCCTTCTCAACCACACTCTTCTTCATGTGTAGCAAGGTCACACTCCTGCTCTTGCAATCTACCATACTTTGTGCCACTTTAGCTAATAGATCCGCTCGACCATTTTCTCCTCGAGGTATCTGGATTAACTCAAAAGAATCAAACTCCCCTTGTAGTTTCTTTATCTCCTCCACATACTTCACCATCCTTTCTTCCCGGACCTCAAACCCTTCTTGGTGTTGACCCACCACCAATTGTGAGTCCGAATGTATCTACACTTTTCGAGCTCCGCCACTTAAGGCCAGTTTGAGTCCCTTAATGACTGCTTCGTATTCCGCTTCGTTATTCGACATCTGGTAGGCCACTTTGATTGCAAACTCGAGGCTGTCACCCTTTGGCGACATAAGTACGATGCCTAGGCCACCCACGGCCCTCGACACCGATCCATCTGCAAACACCTGCCACACCCCTTCAGACTCCTCGCTCTCCTTCGTCCCCTCTTGTATAAAATCGGCCAGTGCCTGAGCTTTAATTGCCCTCCTTGGCTCATAGATAATCGTGTATTCACTTAGCTCGACTGCCCACTTGACCAATCGACCCGACACGGAGTGTCGGCCTAGCGTTTCTCCCAGTGGCATATTCGTCCGAACCTTCACCCTATGTCCCAAGAAATATGGTCTCAGCTTTTTGACAGTGACGACCACTGCCAAGGCCCCCTTTTCAATCTCCGAATACCTCCTCTCCGCCCCCTGCATCACCTTACTCACGTAATAGATAGGAAATTAGGCTGTTCCTTCCTCCCGCAATAACACCGAGCTCACCGCCATCTCACCAATGGACGCATATAACACCAAGTCCTCTCCTTGCATTGGTTTTGCCAATAATGGCAGGTCGACCAGCACCTTCTGCAACTCCTCGAATGCCTTCTGGGCTTCTTCTGTCCATTAAAATTTCGAGCTTTTTCTGATTGTTTTGAACAGGGGCCCGCTTTTCTCAGCTACCTTAGAGATAAAGCGGCTCAGGCCTGCTATTCGACCAGTTAGGATCTGCACTTCCTTCACCTTCGTGGGGGGCTACATCTCGACCACTGCCCTTACTTTCTCCGGGTTGACCTCGATTCCCCTCTTCGTGACCATGTAGCCAATAAACTTCCCGGATTTGACCCCGAATGAGCATTTAGCGGGATTCAGCTTCATCCCATGCTTCGGAGGGTCATGAATGTTTCCTTCAAGTCATTTACATGGTCAATTTCCTCTTTGCTCTTTACCAGCATATCATCCACATACACCTCCATGTTCCTTCCCAGTTGATCCTTAAAAATTTTATCCACCAACCTCTGATATGTCGCCCCTGCATTCTTTAGACCGAATGGCATCACCACATAACAGTATGTTCTACGGCTTGTTACAAAGCTGACCCTTTTCCAATCATCTCGAGCCAGCGGGATCTGATGATAACCCTGGGATGCATCCATCAAGCTGAGTAGCTCACACCCTGCTGTGGAGTCGACCAGATGGTCGATCCTGGGCAGTGGGTATAAATCCTTCGGGCATGTCTTGTTTAAATCTCGAAAATCTATGCACATCCGCCATTTCCCCTTTGACTTCAAGACCATAACCGTGTTCGATAACCATTCTGGGAACTGGATCTCCTTTACATGACCTGCCACCAAGAGTTTTTCTACCTCCTCCTCGATTACTTTATCCATTTCTGCCCCGTGGTGTCTCCTTTTTTGTTTCACCGGTCTCACAGTGAGGTCGATGTTCAACCGGTGCTCAATAAGTTCGGCCTTGATGCCAGTCAACTCTTCCGTCGAGTATGCGAACACATCCGTAAACTCCCTTATCACATTAATCAGCCTCGATCTCACTGGCTCCTCCAATTCCTTCCCAATCTGAAATTTCCTCTCTTCGTATCCCTCGACCATCTGTATTTTATCCACTTCGCCACCTGGCTGGATATCTACCTTCTCTTTCCCTTTCTCCAACTTATGCTTCTCCTCCTTCGACCTCGATCCTCCTGGTCGATTAACTTCCTCCCCTTTAGAGTGCACCTGCCTCCTTGTTAATTGTTTATTATTGCTCATAGTGGTCTGGTAGCAGCTTCTTGAGGTAAGTTGATCCCCAACGATCTCACCAACGTTTTTACCCACCAGATACTTGATCGTCATGTGGTACGTGGATACGACCGCCTAGAACGCGTTCAGGCTCGTTCTTCCCATTATGATGTTGTAGGATGATTCGGCTCCTACGACCACAAATCTCACCATTCGAACTTTCCGGGTTGCTCCTTTTCCCAACGCTACAGATAAACTCACTTCTCCCATGGGCACAACCTCCCCACCATTAAAACCATACAAAGCCGTAGCTACCGATTTTAGCTCCACATTCAACTCCCGATTGATTTGCGCAAAGCAATCATAGAACATGACATCAACCAAACTTCTTGTGTCTATAAACACTCTTTTCACATCAAAACCTGCAACTTCCGCCGTAATCACTAAGGCATCATTGTGATGTATCACTACCCCTGCTGCATCTTCTGCTTGAAAACTAATTTCTGGTACTCAGGCCGTGATAGCCACCTCCTCCCTTTTTATCTTTACTGCTCGATCATGACCCCTCCTCGCATTGTTCGAGTCTCCGTCCGTCGGTCCTACTGAAATCATATATATCGTGCCCCTCTTCACTTGGCCTCCATCCCCTTGTCTCTCTCGCTCCCTACTCCCTCGCCTCCTTTTCCCTTCATCTCTCCTTCGCCCTTCTCGACCTGCTCGTGGGTCCTCATCATCTTCATCGCTCCTTTCCACTGATTCCTCCTGACACCTCCTCTTCTCCTTCCCCCTCACCTTGTCCTGATAGACAAACTCCTTGAGGTTCCCTGCTCGAATGAGGCGCTCGATTTCATCTTTGAGGTGTCGACAATCCTCAGTAGTATGGCCATAATCTTTGTGGAAGCGGCAATATCTCCTCGACTTCGGTTGAGTTGGCCCTTCGAACCTCGACCTCGGCCATGTTACTTCTTTCCCATCTATCCCTTTCTCCATAGCCATTAAGACCTCAGCTACCTTTGCGTTCAACGGGGTATAATCATGGAATCTTTTCCCCCCAGAGATAGGCCGGTCTTTCCATCTGTCCTCTTGTCCTCGATCCTGTTTGGCTCATCCTTCTCTCCTGGGCGAGGCTCTCCTCTTAGGCGAAACTGCTTTCTCCCTTTTCGACTCCCCTCGACCCAACTCCTCTAGTTTAGCAAACTCCGCCTCAGTCTCCTCGAGATTAATATATTTCCTGCACCTCCTCAACACCTCATCATACGTATGGGCAGGGGTCTTAGCCAGAGAGGTCCGATATGGTCCCACCCGCAAGCTTCTAATCAATCCTCCCGCCTTGACCTCATCGACCGCCGACGAAATCTCTAAACAAGCTTGATTGTATCGGGCTATGTATTTGCACAGTGACTCCTTCTCCCCTTGTCTCATCGCCATCAGGGTTAAGTACGTCTTCTCCTGAGCCACCGCGCTCGCGAAATCCTCAAAGTCTGTGATCGAACCCGGAGGGAGTTGCTGGAACCAATCGAGGGCGCCTCCCCTGAAGGTCGATAGAAATGCCCTGCAACTAACGGGGTCAGTATATCCGTGCAACATGGCCATATTTTCGAACGTTCTCACGTGCCTCGACGGGTCCGAAGTCCCATCGAACACCAAGTTAGTATCCTTGTAAGTAATTGGCAAGGGCGCTGCTAGTACGTCCGCCGAGAACGGGTGTCCTCGAGCACGTCTCTCCGTTCGACCGTCCACCTTAGCCTGCAATTGACGCAATTGTTCCGCCATTCTTTCCATCTCCCGGCCATGTGGGGGCCCACCTCCACCGTAGCTGGACTCATCCTCCTCCGCATTTTGGTGTGACCCTGCAACAGTGTTCGACATCGCGGTAGCCCAAGAGAGACTGTTTGTGACTTGCTGCACTGCCTGCGCAGCTGCCTCCGCCACCATTTGTTGCATCTCCTGCCTGGTCATTACCACCTGCTGGTCGGGGGCCTGAACCACCGCTTACGGCGGTGCTCCTCCTTGCGCCACCGCGACTCCTGGTTGCGCCCCCGCTACTCCCGGTTGTGCTCCCATTCCGCCCGGTTGCGCCCCCGTCACTCCCGGTTGCGTTCCTGCTCCTCCTGGTTGTGCCACCGTTGGATATTGGGACGGCGGTGGTGGCATCGCTGCCGTAGCTGCTGCGCGCATCTTCTGGGCCTGATGGGAGCCGGGATCTCCTCCGGGAATCGCTGTCGTCACTCCCACACCTTGGAGCACAGGTGCAGGAATGATCGGCGTCTGCGATGGGCCAGAAAAACCCGGAGGAGGACCTTGTCCCCACGGCCTGGTCATCGTCCAAGCATCATCGAACGTCGACTGTAAGTTTTTGGGAATTCCGTCTGCCATAGCTGAGCTTCAAGCACACCTTTTCAAACTAAAATTCCCACAGACGGCGCCAAATGGTAACACAAAACTTCCCGACCAGCTGTAACTTGAATAATCTCCTTCTTTCTCGTCGGTTGAACGTCGTGTACCTACAAAGAACTCTAACACCGGAGGGGTTTTCCAGTGAAGAGCCTCTGAAGCTTAAGTCAGTGTATGTTCAATCAATTCTCAAGAGTAAGCAATAGAATGATCGTGTTGAAGAAGAAAAGCTCACCCCCTTTATATAGGGGTAAGATACCTGATCTAGGGTTGCCCGGATTTGATGAGCTATCTGCCCTAACTGTCTGTCCGTACGCTCCATACGCGTGTGTCAGAGGTAGCCGTCGCCACTATCGCCTGCACCAATCTTCTTTGGACGCGTGTCCTCCTGCACATGGGGTAGGCTGTCAGAGGTGGTTATCGCTATCCACCAGTGCCTTCTCAACACGTGTCCCCCTGTACATGGGGTAAATATTCTCCTAGAATTCCGTTAGAGGCTCTCTCACGCGCCTGTGACTAGGCCGATCATCGTGGTGTTAAGTCCTCGAAGTGGTCGACATGTCGAGGCCGATTGAACTGCTCGATCGTTCATCTGGTGGAAGAATAGTTTTGTCGACAACTTTGCTTGGTCCACTGGTTAACTGCTTGATTTCCTTGGCTTCCTCATAATACGACTTTCTTAACCAGTCTATTTACCAGTTTAACCTTGTGGGTATAATATCCTATATCGCCGACTTCTTCGCACGCGTGAGCTCCCTTCGCGCACCCCGTGCTCTGATCGCCT